AAGAATTGAGACGAACTGAGATGGTTTGGCAAGAGCTGCGAGAGCTGAGAGGTGGTGAGGCAAGATGAGGACGAATTCACAGAACACAGTTGAGAACATGTGAGGCTTCACTCCAGCTCCTATAGGCAAAACTCGTCTTTCAATCCTCATTCCTTGCTGCTGGAAACTTCCGGCACCCGCCTCGTGCGGCGGGTTCTACTTGTTTTCTTAGATTGATGATGATGATGATGATGATGATGGTGGTGGTGGTGGTGGTGTTGGTGATGATGATAAAGCAGGAAAAATGTTTTATGGTTGATGGATTCATTGCCTAACCCTTTTTGAGTTGATCCCCAATGAACGTTTATCTTGGGATAAGCCGAAACCAACCGTCGGATATTTGTTTTTCAACTCCGACAAGTGGCAGATTTCACGCTTGTGGGTCCACCGCTACCCCTTAATTCAGCCACACCTTAGTCATTTTGAGGGCATTGTTCCAATCCGGTTCCACGCAAGCCGCAGCTTGCTAAAATGGTAGATGCGACAGTATACAGTATTGCATGACTTGCAGACGACTGGTTGCCCACTAGCTTTGCGTATGTATTGCGACGTTCCATCCCTTCTGGATCGATATATGATACAGGACCCAGGACGTATGTTTTGGGAGGAAGTTGGATACACTGTCTTTACATCTTTCAATGAATGATTCTGGAATGGTTGGTTCAAACGGCTCGAATATTCTTGGAGATGAGTGGGAAAAATTGCCCCTGATTGAGCGGTTTGCACTGTACCACTAAGGTGTTCCAGAATGACCTCTCTCGCCAGGTGGGATTTGCACCAGGCCGTGTTATCAACAAACGGATATCCAACAACATTTCGAGTAGGTTTAATAGCTTAAAAAAATGTGGATGTGATCACCTATCCTTTTTTCCATTTTTTTTGACATGGCAGACTGGTTCAGTTTCATAAACTGTCCCAAACGACTGGGGTATTTTGCTAGGAGGCCAATGTGGGTCGTCGATGTTGGGTATTGAATCTCTCGCAATCTCTCACATGTGACCAGATTTGAAAAAATCCAAAGTGTCACTCTCCTTCTGCAAAGTTAGTGTGGATGGATGATCTGGAGACTGGCCATGAATTACGAGGATGGTTGTTTGGTGTACCATCTGGTAATTATATAATTTAACCTGGCCATGGATAACTCACAATTTGATTTTATCTCTAGATGTTCCCCTTTTGAAACATGTTTCCCAACCATTTTTCCCATTGAATCTATGATGGATTTCCAAAATGTTGTTCATTGTCAAGTTATGTCAAATTCATCAAGTTTTTTTTTATGTCCATGTTCCATGAATAGTTCTGGATTTTCCATGATGATCCCATCGAAAAATCAGGGGGAAACCCGCGAAAAAGCACCAGGCCAGCCCTTGCCGCGTGCATGCCCTGGTGATGGGCTCCCCCAGCCCCTTGCGTCGGGCGGGCGATCGACGAGGATGGGATGGCGCCAGGGCAGGTGTTTTGATTCCTAGTGGGGATACACTTATCCGGGATAAATGGGGATCTAATGATATATTTCCATTTTTTCCAATTTCCAGCATTCGAAGGGTCTCATCCCTTGCAGCTCGTTGGCTTGCATGAATTACAAGTCTTGAAAGTCAGGCAGCCAGTGCGCAGTGGCGATACATTCGCTTGCCTTAGCCGCAGAAGAGATCCACTCGTCCTGGGCTGGATGAGCAGCAGCAGGGGTTCGATACAACCTGCGCTGGACAATCCTACAAAACTGTTTCGCGAAAGCATTTGCAATCGCTTTGCAAAATGGCCCGGGGTACTCTTTGTGACGTGCTGTACGGAACCGACCCTGTTGGATTTCTATATATAAACATGTTCCAACACTTCATTGGATTTCTTGTGGTCAAGATATCGCCGTTTGGTACTTAGATCCATTGGGGATACGATTTTCTAGGGATATCATGGGGGACTTTGGGGATATTTCATGGCAGATGGGATCTTGGGATTTTGGGGTAGCCAGATAAACCCAGGCACTCGGGGTTTTCTCACGATATCAAACTTTAAGATTGTTTGCGGCAAGCATTGTATCATGATGTCATATTGATGTCATATTTAATGATATTTAATTACTGGTAATTTTCCAAAGCCCACGAATTGGATGGTTAGATGGCACTTAAGTGGTAATAAAAGTGAACCAAAGCCTGGGGGGTACATGGGCCTCAACTGAGCCATGCAATCTGGGAATTCTACGGCAGGCAGATAGTTAAGGGATGGTCTTGCTGGCATGAGATAACGTGAGAGAATTTTTCGCAGCTATGAATGTGGCCGATAGTCAGTCATCAATTGAAACTCCAACTATGACTATACTTGCACCACTGATCGACATATTAAAACTACATATCCACAAAAAAAATAGTTTACTGTCCTGTTCTCCAATCTCAGTGGTAATTCCAGACAATGATGGGATTGCCAGTGGCATACTTTTTGAAGTGGTGCCAACAATGTCCCTCCAGTTGTTTGCCTAACCAGCAAAGTGACACACACACACACATCATACAGCTTATCATAAGTGATTCAGGCACAACTTTTCAACCCAGAGCGTTCTGTTGCGTTTTGTATTTTGGGTGATGGTAAGAAAACGAGATGCAAAGACAGGCCTCTCGTTAACTTTGTTCATTTCCTTGTTTTCCTTGTGTAAGTGTCTCTTTTGAAAACCCTCGGATCTCGTTCCATGTTGTGGGATCTCATTCTGAATATGTTCTGATCTCTTTTTTTAACATCCGCGGACCTGCAAAATAAGGAGAAACTGTCATATCACCTAACAATGCAAAACCCATTTTCATGTGGTGCAACTCGCCTCCCATGGTGATTGACGCGTTCTGAGTTTTACTTTCCAAAACTTAAAACAAGAAATCGTCGGCGCTGGTAGTGGCCATTTTGTTTGGTGTAACTTTTTTGGACGTGATGATCAACTTCATTGGTGTGGAGTGGAGTTCCATGGGGAGCACCGTGTCCCCTGAAATGTTGGTGTGACTTCATCCGTTTCCTCTAGAATACAGCACAATCTTCAGCCCTCGCCTCAACATGTGTATCTTTGCAATTATTTGATATGTGTCTGTCTTTGTGCAAAAAACACCGTCCATGGTCACATTAGCATCAATTTACATAGATACTTGTGTATGTACACACACAATGATAATCTACACTTGGGTCACATGCACCGGGCGCAAGGCTGAATGCCTGCAGTGGCAGTGAATGGAGAAGCTGCTTGAAACACTTGCAGCCTGCGGTTGAAATCATCACTATGATTCTTGGTCATCCCATGATCCCTGGGCTTTCAATGCCAACACAACATTGCGAACCTCAGATTTCTGAAATGTCTGACCTGAACTGGCATAAGCCCCACTTACTTGATCTTACTTGGGCATACAGTTGACTATGAGATGGTGGGAGCACCCTGGGAGTCGCAAATTGTTTTTTTTTGATGATGGAAATGTGGCAGAAGGAGACCGAGTAGGTGCACTTGCTCCGTGGCAAAATTCACTCCGTGGAAGAATTTGCTTCGTGCAGAACCTGTCAATTCGTGCAGTTGTCTTTGCTTTTTTTTCAGCACAGAAAAACAGAAAAACACCATTGGTTGCATTACTCAGTCAAAAAATATGGATGATGAACTGATCATCATAAAACATCATTAGTGATGATCATCAAACAGTACTCAGTCATGCTAAATCACAAAAAAACTCCAGATGTTTGATGATGTTTGATGCTTAAATCTGAAGCTTGAGACAAAAAACCAGTAGTTAGGTCTGTGTTGGTGTGTGGTGGTGGCAAAGCCTTTAATTCGCTCAGCTCTGCGCCAGCTTGTCCCAACAAAACCTCTCCTGGCAAGATGAAACCAGGAAATATTGAACTTCAAAAAAGGTACGATACCCCCATCGTTTTTAATGGGAAACTAATGATAAACAGTAATACTAATATATAATGGTAGTAGCGGGGCAGCCTGTTTTTAGACAAATCCACTTGGAGAATCTTGGAGAAAGTCTCGTGTTCGTTTCCTGATATAGATTGGTTTATGCCACACTCCAGCGAGCATGTTCCCAATACATTTCACTCATTCTGAAACTCCATGGCAAGCCACATCCAACTCCTTCAACGATGTCGTGTTGCTACAGGGCGCAAACTGCACTTTTCCTATAGCTATTTGGGCCAAACGGGTAGTGGGTCGGACAGCTGCGTTCAGGGTTCTTTTCCGAGTCATGGCTGGTGTGGACAGGATATGGTCAAGCTGTCAGTGCCGGAACGGCAGCGCAGATGACAAGACTTGGCGCACGGTGTGCGGGAAATGCCATGGATTTTTCTTCGGGAAGTTCACACTGAAAATGGATGATATACCCAAGATTAGCCTTAAATTGGACATGGGCATGCCACCATATACCACCATGAATAGCGACTTGCAATTGCCAATATCCGAATAAATGTGGGATGGTCTTAATGACTTAATGGATCTTAATGGCCAATATGCCACCGTTTGGCTATGGTACAGACTGAACAGATACATTGTTTGGGCATTGTTGCACTGACCAGCAGGCCAGCATGATAAGTGGCAGAGGTTCTCTCTTTCTTGATTGGATATTGAAGGCATAATATTGGAAGCAAAACCAACAAAAATATCAAAAGGCAGCTGACAACTTTTCTTTCTACCATGGCTTGGGAGTTGGGCGGAGAATAGACTTAGACATTGAACGACCTCAAGCGCAGAGGCCTAGAACTGCCGTGCGTTTGGTTCAAGACAGGAACGGGGGAAGCCACCGTTCCAAAATTCGTTTTGTTTTGCAGAGGTCTGGACCGGGTGGTAGAAAAGTTTACGTGTGCCTGATCAGGTGATCTTGGATGACCTTCCAACTTTAGCGACCGGTACGGGCAATGGTGGTTTCATGTGGTTTCCTACACTTGGACCCCAAAATTCATCCAAATCACGAAAGCACGCACAGCAGGTGCGGGCGGCGTGCCCCATGGCTGACAAAGCCAAGGCTGCTGAAGCCAAGAAGAAAGGAAATGATGAGTTCCAGGCCACATCCTGATTTGTGGCGATGGGGGTTACACGGGATGGATTTAATATGGTTTAATCAATGGAGATTTGGTGGGTTAATTCATCATTTACCTGGTTTGATGATGTTTCATGGCCGTTTATGGACGAAGTGATGGGAATCCCGCGCTAAACCACCTGCGCTTTCGGGTTGAGATCAAGCCTCAATATGCAGTTGTTCCTGGATCGCAACAGCCAAGGCGAAAAACTTTAAAGAGGCCATCAAGCACTTCACGGAGGACAGCAGAAGTGGGGTGTAGTGGCTTGAATCTACGGTGGTCAATGTTGTTAATGCCCATATGACCATTTCAATGGATTTATGAACATCCATTTACAATCCCATAGGATCCATGTATGCCATATATGGTAACATTTACCATCAATATACCCCCAGTGTTAGTATATCATACCATACATGGATCCTACGGGAATATGTACATCCATTTACCATCATTTACCACGTAAATGTTTGATGCTCAGGGCGCCCTGTTTCACGGCTGACCATGGCCCCCCATGGGATGAGTCTTTGGCACAAAGATCTTCACAAAGGTATCACGCATGTCGTGGCATGTCAAATGCTGAGGTGTTTTGTGTTGTTTCATCATGTTTCTTCGCCTGTCAAGCTATGTCAAGTCAGATTTCAATAGATATTGGGTTTCTGAGATACTGGGCCCATCTTGGAGCATCCAAAGTGGCCGGTAGATCCATCGCAGGCCATCAAGCACGACCCATCGGATCATGTATTTTTCTCCAACAGGCGGAGCAGATCCCAAAGCTGAGTCGTGCTGTGTGCCGTCCTGGCGTTTGCCATCTTTTGCCTTCCACCACCTTGGAATATACGTATTGAAATTATCAGATAATTATCATGATGTATCTTCTCTATTCTTCTCTAGCTTCTCTTCTTTGCTGTTTGATTTCAGCTCATGAGTCCAAGTGGTGAATGAGAGTGGGATAGAAAGCTAGAAAGCCACATCTTCAATTATGAGCAACCAGGGTGCCTAGTTAGAAGTAGCTTCCGGTCTTTCCATCATACGACTGAGAATTGCAGCTGGGTTGTCATTGGTGTCCGTGATAGGCCAGCTTGGCTCGAAGCCAATGGGGTGGATATTGCACAACTGTGGCATAGCAAGACTGCAGTAGGTCGCATTGTCCTTGGCCCGGCAGTTCTTGACAGGTCAGCTTGCTATGCCTCCCTTGAGAACTACGATAAGGCACTGGAGGCGCGGGGAATCCTCCCCCGGCCAGATATGAGGACACGCCAAAGATGTCATGAAAAGATACCCACAATGTCCTGAATATTGTGAATATATTGTGAACATATGTGAATATACACTTTTGGTTGGTAGAACTTCCTAACTTCTTGGTGCAATACCGCCACTTGGCCACCCCCAATCACTGGTTTGAATTAAACGCGTCCTCAGACATTTGTAATTGTCACTGTGACTATTTGAAAATTACACATTCCGCCGTTCCGCATGTCTGCCACATTGGACCCACCGGCCAGGATGGGGCAGAATGTGTGAGGCTAAAACCGGACTGGCCAAAGGGCTACACCCGAAAGGTGCGGTGCCCCTGAAGGGGCAATGGTACTCCGGGCCTGAGCATTGCTGCATGGTTTGTGGATGACAGTCTTTGGGATGCTACGACATGGTAGGACCACTGTTCAAAATTCTTCAGACCTGTCCATCACATTTTTAGATCAGATCTTTTCAGGCTGAAAATGAGGTGATTTCCGTGGGTCGTTTGAGTTTTCTAGGTGATCGCTGAAGGGATGATATCACCAGTTCTGCGGTTCTGCTAGGGATTGGCGGAGTACTTTCTGCAGAAGTACGATGATGCCGCTGAAACCTACAAGGTGGGGCGCTTCCGCGCCCCGGGGGGGTTGGGGGGGGTCCCAGGGGGCTAGCGGCTGGCGTTGATCAAGATTTGTAAGCTATCATGCGACATGATCAAGATTGGACAAGATGATGGGCTTCCTATCAAGGAATTACGGGATGGCCCTCAGCCATGATGTTAGTTGATTCCTTCCTCCATTTGGGGACTCCATCAGAGGCCGGCCTGAAGTTAGCTCCTGAAGATGCCACCTTGAAAGAAGGCTTGAAAAAGGCGCCACGCCTGGCAGAGGAATGGCTCGAGGTATTTTGAGGTTTGGAGAAAGGTCAGAGTTCAGGAAGGTGTGCAGAAGTTGCTACTGGTGATTTCAGAATGTTTCAGTTTGCTATGATTTATAGTATTTTATAGGTAACATATATATTTATATTTGAACATCATTCAAGATTTGTCTTGAGAAACTTATCTCAACTGCAACCAAGACTCTTTTGCCTGGCGGACCAACTCACCACTACTGTAATGCCTCAAAGGTTTTCAGATGGGGTTGTCCACCCATGTATAACAATGTGAGATACCGCGAAAAGGCCAATTCAATTACTATCAATTACTAAAATGAGGATCATCTTTTTTGGGAGGTGGCCTTTTTCCCACAAGTTTCAGTCAAACCCCAGATGATCCAGAGTTAAACTCCCATGACGTCGTCATGCTGTCGTTTCAGGCCATGGATGCGAAATACGACGTGCCCGGCGCAGGTAGTCACTACCTGGTAGTGCCTTTGTTTGTTTTAGGGATTTACGGATCACCACCTCGACTTCTTGAAGCGTCTTGAAGCCAAGTTCTTGGTGGACGACCTTTGGCATGTCATGAAGATATGACATTTTCAGTTGGGTGCTTGTTGTGTTCTGAGTTTGACAGGTCAAATGCAGATCACCATTAAGTCTGTGTAGTTGCAGCTGCGCTGTCATCATAAAGCTGGCAGTTTGAGTGTGCAAGTAGGCATAGGAAGTAGGGATTGTGCCCTTCTTGTGTCTCCTGCTTTTTATTGAAAGGAATCATTGGTTTATCATTCCTGACCCGGTCTAGTGTGGGATTTGGAATGGATTTGGTCTCAACATTGCTTGGCATGGTGAATCATCGCATGCTATTCAGCTGCTTCTTTGGCCCAAGTTGCACATACTGACGTCCTCCGCCTCTATCGTGCCAAAACCAGCGACCTGTCTTGCAACTTTAGCAGGCACATGATCAGATTTGTCGGAATGTTGCAGCTAATGCTATGTTCATTTCCCAGAAGGTTTACAATCCAATACTATGTTGTGCATTTACACATGCTGTATGTATGGTGTATATATAGCTCTTAATTGATTGCAATTGATTTCAAGTGTACGTACATTTAGTAAGAATTTAGTATGTCAATGTATGTCATACTTATATTATGTCAATATATGTGTGGGGATGAGTTTATGTCGTGTCGCTGAAGTCCCGACTTCCATGGATTTCCATGGCCTTGATCTGAGGACGTCATGAAGTTTGTTCTCAGGCGCTGGGCATTGTGGGGAAGCATGGCTTATCTTGGCTTCAGGATGTGGAACATGATGGAAGAAATACATGAAGAGTTATGATAGCTTGTGAATGCTTATCCAGTGCTTGTCAGACACTGGATCTGGTCTCATGTTTACTGATTCAGAATTTGGTGGAAGACCTTTCGCTTGCAGCACATTGACTTGTTCCTCAGGTGCTGCAATAGCTAAAGCAAAAACTCTCCACGGAAGTATTTGCAAATTGTATTATCCAGAGAAGCAAAAACTTCTATTTTTGCAGCGCAACCGGAAAAACAATCAACATTTTACATAGCTTAACTTGTAGCATATCTTCCACGGGATAGCCCAGCCGCCCAACGGCAGTCCGGCCGCAGGTTTGTCCCTTTCACCTTGGTGGCAGCTCAGAACTGGCCAGCATGCCAGGAATCATTGGGACGGGAAGATCGGAAGATCCAGCAGAAAACCAGTGATTTTAAGCTGAAAAAAACCAGTTAGGGTGTCAGGGTGAACTCACCCAGACTGTCCCATGCTGCCATATGGGCCATATTCATTGTCTGACTGCGTGTGATTTGGGAACCTAAGAAAGTTGAAAAGGCTGTATATGTTGCAAAGGACAAGATGAAATTCTTCACCACCCAAGATGTCTAGGGATGCCCAATCTCATCCGGATACCACCGCACCCGCTGTGCACAGGAGCAGAACACCGTGATTCGAAACGCAGGACAGGCGCTGTTCACGAACCTCCAGGCGGATTGGTGTTTGCAGGTCACCCTACCAAGTTTGGTGAAGCAACATCCACTTGAAAAGATGAAACCAGGCGGTTCAGGTATATAAATCATGATAAATTCATCGATATCAATAGGAACATCCAATCTTGGATACACCACTTTTCCAGCAGTTGAGTGCCTCTGCAGCCCTGGCGACGCAGGGCTATGGTGCTACCATTGGATGCTTCTTAGATGATTGCATGAGCTCAGACAAGTTCGGGAGCCTATGGTCAGCGGGGCTGGGGTCTGGATTGGTCTGTCCCAAGTTCACGAAAGCCCATCAAAGGGTCTACGTTGAGCTACCATGGTTGGTGGTATGTAGGTCCAAGCAAGCTTGGAATACAGATGGGGAGGCTCTCCGCGGTCGACAAATTGTCAGTGGAGTCAACTCAGCGGCAGATGGCACATTTGTTGCAGCAAAGATCTCAACAACCCCAGACAGCATGTATACATACAGGGTTTCCCCCGTCCCCCCAAACAGGAAAGTCTAGAAGAGGAGTGAGTGCCCTCAAATTAGGATCGATTAGTAATACATATATATATACACAGATATATACATATGTATATATATAATATACTATTATATATATATACATTATTGTCCTTACTATCCCATACGTAGTCAGGTTCGTGGCCAGTGAGATCGAGTCATGTGCGAAGGTGCCTGGATGGTTTCGCAACAGCGCAACAACAACCTTGGAGAAGGATTTTTTTAAGGTTAACAGACTCTTGACAATTACCATACATAACATACATGTATTACAGAGTATTATTGTCAATTACCATCTATTCCTATATAATTGCCATACATAACATACTTACATAGTTACCAATAATATTTAATATATTACAATAATGATTATGATGTAGTTTCCCAACATTGACTTGAGTCCATTTTGTTTCTACCTTGCTGTGGGTAAAAACAAGATGTTTCTTGAAAGAACATCTACAGTTGCCAACTGTTGATGTTCAGCTGCAGGGTCCACATTATAGATTGCGCAATTGGATCATATTTGGAGATAGTGCAACATTCAAACATTACCTGATAATGATTGATATGGCTTAGGAAAGAAATGGTAATGTTGCCATATATTGCCAATTTATATTATGATACACGTTGGTAATGCAGCCATTGGCTGTTGTTTCACCTGATCCCTACCGGCGAAAGATTTCTGCCTTCCTAATCTAGGGCAAACAATCGCGGACCATCCGCGTCAGGTCTGTTTCTCTCTACCAGAGTGCAAATACTGGGCAACAGTCTTAGACGTGACGTTTGTCAGCTGAGTGTTCTTGGACTTTGGATATTTACGCACTGTTGGTGATCTTAGTTAGTTTTCTTTTGTTTGTTGAACAACTGTTTTTTGGAAAGTGCAGGAAATGGAAAGTGGCACGAAATTGAACAGTGGAAGCGGGGGTCCATTTGTCGAAACATCAAACTACGGCATTCCATTTACGCCTGACGTTGTGGATACCTCACTTTCTGGGAGAACACAGGACCTTAATGTTGATATGGGATGGAAAGCGGGGTAAACCAGCCGCCTTTTCATCACAGGTCTGGGGTAGCGAAGAGGGTGAGCAGAAGTGTTGGTTCAGGACCGGCAAATCGATGATCGAAGATGCTGAATATCACAGGATATCTTCCAAAATCTCACAGATAGCAAATAGACAAACATCATGTAATGGCATAACTCATAAATGTATTGAACTATTGTATATGTATAATAATATATATATATATGTTTTGTGCATCATCACTCATCACTGGTTCCTCTTTTCTCGCAGCTTCATGTTCATCTTTCACTGCGTTTTTGATATGGTGAATTTATATTGTCTCCTAAACCCTCCTGTCCTCCAAACAAGGCAACGGAAAGTCACCAAACAGAACTATGTATGAATGTGCAGATGAATTCCCTCTTGATTGTAGGAAAAAGAGAAAAGCTTGATGCATTTTCCCGGAAGCCATGTTTGTGTACCAGGGTGTGTGACTCATTCTGCTTTTCCCTTTCCATGCCATGTTTTATCATGTCTTACTTGTTGGAGGATGTTAGAGGTAGCAATACCCCCAATATTGGTGGTTATACCGTTGTAACCCCAAGTATTGAAGGTTAGACTGTAACATCCACCAAAAGATAGAAACGTGTTTTGCCATCTATTTTAGTATGAGTGCACTGTTCCATTTTTGGGGGGGGCTCGAATTAGTTGCACCATCTTACACCCCTCAGTTTGGTGATTATAACCCGAACTACCGCAGCTTCGGCCACCTTTTTGTTGGTTATACCTTCATGTGAGCAGTGTGTAAAACATTTTTTGATGACTATCGGGGGTTATTATACCATATTATACCCAAAATAATTGCTGGATACAATCATAATCATGGGAATCAACGGAATGACTGGTTGAGTAAATTCAAGAATATCCTCATAGTTCCTCATATGGGTGATTTAATATGATGATACCATACATATGTATGTATGTATATATATATACCTGCAACATCCACCTGTGCTAAATTTTGGCCTCTTAGCAAAGAGTACAAAATTTCAGCCCCTTAAAATAAAAAACGCCCCCGGCAGTTTTCTTGAGCAAGAAAGGTGCCCTTGGAAGATCATACCTGAGTCATATCCAAGTAGTTCTATTTCAAGTTGTGATTCCAATGCTGCAACTGTTGGAGACTGTTGGTGCCTGCTACTAGCACCAAATCAGCGACTGAAGAGCCTGCATGACATGCCAGTGTGGGATAAGCCGGATAAGCAAGTTGCTAGAATGGTATGAAAGAGGGCAAAGGCTGCTTAAGACATCTTAAGACAAGAACACCCATGAAGCCAAAGACAGGTGAAGTGGGAGCCATGGTCCCAGTGTCAAAAAAATCAGAACCGGATAACCGGATCGCTCAATTTGACTATGTGCGTTGTGTGCGCCCATGGTTTGTCACCCGTATCATACCTGAAAACCCTCGAATTTCGAACTTGAACATGGGTGGTTTCCCAGTTACGGCAAATTACGCCTTTTTCCCGGCGAATTACGCCTTTTACCCGGCAAATTACGCCTCTTAAAAGCGTTGGATTTTGGAAAGAATGAAACCTTGTTATGCCATACCTTATCATACCAGTAGTTAGATGATCCCGCGTTTTGTGATCAGGAACTGATCATGCCATAAACAAAATTGTCATTCGTCGTCGTCGCAGCAGTTGATGGTAATAAAATCCCATGATAACCGTGTCGTGACAGGAACATTGTGTCACACAAAAAGAGTATCTTGTAATTTTGTCTTATATATGATGCATACTCTGCACAACTGCTTCATGCAGTAGCAGCCCATGAGCACAGCTTTACCCGGCAACGAGGGTTCTGTGATTAGTTAATTATTCAGCCTTGCCCCTGAAACATCTTCGAACTTTAATAGGAAACTGGCGTCAAGCCTACTAAAAGACATCCGGAATGATAGAACGCTCCAAAAGTCAAAAAACGCCTCTTGGATAAAAAGGCAGATTTGGGCTAAGGAAAAAAACGAGACCCTCAGGAACATCTATATAGGTATATATATATTATATATATATATTATATATATATATATATATATGATGTTATTCCCGTATCCCAATTAATCCCTATCCTCATTATATCCTCATCATCTCCCTGAGCTATTGGCTGACCAGGACGGGTGACAGTGGCCGTGAAGCTGGAGAAGGGTGGGTGTCTGGCACCAAGGTGCCCGCTGACAGCCTGGCCGTGTCAAAAAATGGATGCCAGCCTTAGCAGCAAAAAATGGGAAGCTGAAGAAGCGAAATGATCCGAAATGGGGATTCAATTCAATTTTTATGTATTAATATATATATATATATAATTTTATCCCAGAAACATGGAGTCACTTTCATATTGAGGTTCATGTCATGCGAGAGATGACCAAATCTGCGGCCTGATGGGTAATTATAGGCAATCCATTTTATTTTGGCTGCGGTCACATGACGGCGTTTGGTTTGAACATGTTTGAACCATGAAGTCAGAAAGGCACGGTCTGGGCACTATAAGAGTAAAAGTTCGGCCATGTCTTGCCTTGCTTCAGAAGGTGATGTCTAAAACCACGGAAGCGATATGCCATCCTATTCCAAATGGTATGTTGGTTGCGCTAGAAGGGTATGCCACTAATGCCAACACCGGATTAATAACCCACCCCCAGAAGGTCAGAACTCTACCTTGTAGGTCAGTTTCTTAAACCCCCCTTAATAATAAGCAACTCTGAACCATAAAATTTTGGATATGGCTTGAGTCAATTAGATCATCATAGAATTCCATTGGATTTCATAAGATTTGATACTTAAAACTTCATGGTTATAGGAAGTTGACTTGTGGTCTTCAAATTCCTATGAAGGAAGAGTGAGGAAACCACCATGCAGGGTTTGGTGTCCTGTCCAGGGTGATGATTTGTTTAAAGAATTTTGGATAAAAAAAAATGATTTCAGCAAAGGGGGTTGATTAATCATGTCCTAGCCAAACTGTTTATGAATCCTGGGGGACCACCTGTTTTTAACTTGCATTTTTTTTGGGAGGAGGAGGTTGATTAAAAACGGGGTGTTGATTAATCCTGACTTGACATTAGTCTTACAGGTGTGGTTTGCTCACACATTAGCGACCTGCCAGGCGTGCGTTCCACCAGGCACCAGTGTAGCAGCCTCAGGTGTTGCTGTCCTTCTGAAAATCTACAGGAAACCCGAGTTTTCCCATTGATTTCATGGGATTTCCCTGGATTTCCTGATTTTCCCTTCATGAAAAATTCTGGGATTATCAGAATTCTGTAGATGATGTAGGGGAAGACATTGGTATGCAGTGGGGCTATCATGCGGATACAATGGGAAGATAATTGGACATGACATATCATATCTAACGACACGACATTTGGCTCTGTCTGAACGTGGGGTATCCAAAAAAAAGCACTTCAATCAGACAGAATGTGATCAATGAATGCATTTCGGGGTACAGTATCCTATTTTCACAGAGACCAAAAGCATGGCTGCTGGACTGGCGATATCATAACTATCCATTTGTTTGACCTTGCAAATTTGACAGTCCAAAGTTGTTGGTAACTGCTCAATTGGACATGGAACTGTTGGCTTTCATCATTTCAGATAGGTTTGAAAGTTGCTGTTGGTAGTCAGGGTCCCTGCCTGGCAATGAGGCGCTGCCGCTGGGCAACTCTGAATGTTGGGCGGAGGGATTTGGCTATGAGAATTGTCCGGGGCCCCCAGAGGCTATCCAAGGCTCCTGGTGTAGCAATGGGACCAAAAACTTCTCACAGCCTCCACATGTGGCTGGTATATTTAGCCCACAGCCTCCCCAAAATCCAGTGGCTCCTCATCATTTTTCCCTACCAAAATAGTTATTTGGGGGATAACAGAGTATAACATGGTATAAGCGTATACCCCATTTTTAGACACTTTTGGATGCTGATCATTTCCAAGCGAAACAAATCTTTCCATGACAACCCAATGCCCAGGTTGTGAAGCCAAGTTCGGGCCCAACGGCAACGCCCAATGCTGGGCTTGGGGGCCCAGAGTTTTTCCCTCCGGGACGTCCACTGGATCCATCTGGAAAATCTCCTGGATCTTTTTGACCAAGAAACACATCATGACACAAAGAACTCCTCAGTGAAGAGTTAGATCAACATTTAAATCCCAAACTTTGAGGCTGTAATAGATTCGCATACTGATGATGTCTGATCTGTGTTTTTTTTTTACAGTGGAAAGTAAAACAAAGCCGGAGAAGCAACCAAGTTGAACAGCTGAACCGCCTGTGTTGCCTGTTTCTCTCTGCGCCCTGGGTGTGATACCTTGAAAGTGATAATGATGGCAATGCATTCGGAAACACAACGGCAAATAGTTTGGCTATGTTTGGCTCTAACGGCGACATGTAGTCACTTGTTTGCTTTCTGATCGTAAGGAGAATGTAAGCTGCAAGACTGGTGTGCCAGCGTGACAACCTTCATCAACCTGTGTTTCGGACAGAAATGCCGTTGCACGCCGAGGACGGTGTCTACAACTATGACCGCTGCTGCTTCCCCAAAGAGGAACTTTAAACACAGAAGTATCAAGCAATATAGGCAAACACTTCCCGGCGTACCTGACGCCTGATGCACCGTGCAGCCGCAACGGGACAGCCCTTATGACATGATTCATGGGTCAGGTTTTCCCAGCTGCAAATGACATGCGGTTGGTTGATATGCACAGGTGTGCGTGTGTGTGACACGCATTTGCACCAGGTGATTAGATGCCAAATACATCCAAATACTGCCGCAGATGACAGAAGGTATATCGGTATTTCGAAGACAAATGAATATTCACTTCAGGAAAATAAAGCATATACAATCATACTATATATATATAGTATTTGTTGATACTATTATCATGTAAAGGGTATACTCTCCCCCCAAGAACATTTTTAATTCCGTACTGTGACTAAAGCGAACATGAAATCAGCCAACTGGCAATGGATATGCCATATGATTTATGTTCGGGTTTGCAGCCTTGGTCGTATAAGATATATATATATATATACATACGTATATATACTCCAAAGGGAGTGGATAGTCCGCCAATGGTTTAATCACAGAATTGATAGGACAAATTACAGGACCCCCCTATGATTACTGGTAAAAACCATGATATCCTGTAGATTTTCCCAGGATCCAATGGATCCAATTCTATGATTTCAATGATGTGGTTGTTTGAGAGGGTTTGGAGTCTTGCAACAGAGCCGTTGTCTTGATCTTATATAGCCATGCCATAGACGATGCAGGTGTTCTCACCAACCACTGCAAGTCCAGCTTCGCAGCTTTAGTGGCAGCTGCAATGAAATGCACTTGGCTGAAGCAGTTTTGATAATAGATTGTGCTTTAATCAAGACTTTGTTCAGAAACCTCCAAGACCAGTTCAATATTCGTACAAGTTTTGGCCTCGTGCTCAAAGGAAGTCAGAGAGGAAATGACACGATGAACGGCAAAGACAAGACGCGTCGCTCCTGGCAGAGGGAAAAAACGAGGGCACTGCCTTCGAACACAATCAGCCTGTTGTATATGCATAGTGTCCCGTCCTGATTTATGTGTGTATCCCCCCTCAAACGAATGGGCTATACCCTTTTTAAAGTTAACTTGCTTAAAACTGCTCCCCAGATAAAATACGAACATACAGTCAAGTAAAGATTTTGATTGGCGACAATTGAAATCTTTTTTTGCCGGTGAACTTGTAGTACTGGTAATATTTGTGGGGTTCAGCATGTTGATTGCGTTACCTTCTGCACCTCAAGTTTTATGAGTCCAACAACACAGAGAAGACTGTGGGTTTTATAAAGAAAAATGCACAGAGCAAACAGAGAACAAACAAACTAGAAAACCAAAAACAAGAAACAAAACAAGATAACAACAAAAAACAAAACACAACAAAACACAACAAAACACAACACCAACAAAACACAACACCAACAAAAAACAAAGACACTGAGGAACATCCAGGTGTTGTTTTTTTTGTTATTTTTTTGTCTGGTGATTCTTCCTGTCGAGTTGTTTTTTTTGGTGATTCTTTTTTTTTTGATTGTGTATATTATTATTATATATTATTATTATTATCATTATTTGCCAAAATCAACTTTCTTTATTCTAGCCGCCATCTTAGCTAAAGTTTTTTGTTTAATGAAAGGTGTAACAAGAGAAGATGAAAAGAACGAGGAAGCAAAAGAGGAAGAGGAAGAGAGAGGGAAGAGGAAGAGAAATAGACATGAAGATGAAGATAAAGAGGAAAAAAAGAGAGAAAGAGAGAGAGAGAGAGAAAAAAAAGAGGAAGAGAAAGAGAATCAAGCAGAGGAAAATTAAAGAGAAAGAGAAGGTTGCTTTTGTAAAAGGCTTTTCTTTCTTCTCTTGGCTCCAGGATCACCTCAGGAAAAGTTTGCTGTAATTCCAGATCTAGGCAACAAACCTACTAAAATGAATTGAACCCTCTCATGGTCCAGTGCCTTGGATTTCTTTTGAAATGTTGTCCTTTAGTAAGAGTTTAATAAGAGATTGGATCTTTTAGGAAAGGGGTACAAGCAAGATATGTTTCAGAAAAAACATGCTTCCTTTTCACAAAAACAGTTTTTTGAGAAAAACATGGTATGCTACTAATCAGGATCCAACATCAAGCGGCAAACTGCTTGCTCAGGGGATCCGATCGGGAATTTGTGACGAAGAAGCAGAACTCAAGGGGATGATCCCAATCTACTGGGGTTTACCCTCTGGTAATTTAACATAGCTATTGAAAATCACCATTTATAGTGGAATTACCCATTAAACATGGTGATTTTCCATAGTTATGTTAGTTTATCATGGAGGAACTCACCATCCATTGTCGTTGTGTTCGCCCTAACCAACCATAACGGAGGCGTTGGCGGCAACGGTAACGGCGGCGGCGGCGGCTTGCAGTTTGATCCTGCTGCCTGGGACTTGGGTTCCATATTTTGTGTTTTATCGTGCACCATATCTTTAAGTAGTATTTTGTATCACGTATCTCACGGAATCATGTATATATGTACATATATATATACATACATACATATAATTTTATATTTGCAATATATTACAATATCTTTACTTATACGTGACGTATATAACTATGTTCTATTTCCCCCCTATGTTGGATTATTATCCAAAATTGTTGTAAATTGCTAATATTTTTCAACGGTTCCTTTTTTGTTTGGAGGTAGAGACTGAGACAAGAAAAAGAGAGAGGGAGAGAAAAGGAGAGTGTGCTTGAGCCTGGAGGATTGCATTTACTGTATGTCATCATATATCGGTTCATGTGTGCACTTACTTCTGTGTTATCATAGTCAAGTGCCGTTAAGTTTATTGAAACTGTTCCTGAGCTACATGATCTTGTTTCTGTGATGGTTATTGATCTTTTTGGGTCGGAGACTTATGCCGCCTATCATGGTTCCGCGAATGATCCAGCAGTGCCTCTCCCATCATCGATCCACCAAGTGGGGTTGAGAACCAACGATAGGCCCTGGCTGCTGCTGCGGCAAAGAACCCAAAGATCAAGGCACGTTGCTGAGCAGATGGTGTCCAAGTGCTGAGTGCTGAGTAATGTTGATTTCCAATGTCTTTTTTGTGTGCAGCTCCATTACAGGGAGGTGTGGCAAGATGTACCAACAAATTCTTCACATAAATGGTGCGTTTATATCACCGGTTGCGGATTGAAATTTGGCTATGGTCTGTTGGTCTAGCATCAAACAAATCATGCTCGATCAGTGAGGAACAGATGGGTAGACTGGAAAATTACTTGACGCTGGTATGCGCTATGTCTCTCTTGAGTCTTTAGGTCAGGTAGAAAAAGCTGCTAAGTAGCATCAGGTATTCAAACTTGGTCTTTGCCACAAAAAGTCATTGAAAATCCATGATGGGTTGGTTTTGAATGGAGGGAGCGCAATTTTTGAATACAGCAGCTTCAGAGTTTCACAGCTCATACTGCATTTCCTGGATTTATTGGGTGGCTTCCTTCCCGAATGCGTAGCAAGGGTTCCCGTTTCACTCTGGGGGTCTGGGGGTTGAGGGTGTTCGCTCGACGTTGCCCAACCGTCCGCAACCTTCCGCAACCGTCCGCAACCGTTCGCATTCGTTCGCCACCGTTCGCAACCGTCCGCAACCGTTCGCAACCGTCCACAACCGTCCGCGTGAGGGCCGTATGGCCGTGCCTATGGTAAGTTCTGCAAAAGGGGTCACTTTTGGAGGTTTCACATGTGGTGTTGCTTCGCTTCGCGTGGCAGGCGTGGCACTTTCTGACATTAATTCAGAAGTGTTTTGTAACGTGTCGAAAGTCGTTTTGTGTGGCAGGCGCAATACTTTTGCGACGTTTTCCCAAGATGAGTTGCGGTTTTCGTGGCACGCGCAGCATTTTGGAGATCTCTGTCGTCATTTTGTGTGGCAGGTGCAGCATTTCAGACGTGTCGCATTGCCTGCTCTACACTCCACACTCTGCACTCCACACTCCACACTCCACTTCACACACTCCACTGTTTACATTCCACACTTTAAACTCTACACTTTAAACTCCACACTCTACACTTTACACTCTACACATTGCACTCCACACTGCACACTCTACACTCCAGACTCCACACTTTACACTCCACACTTTACACTCCACACTCCTCACTTTACACCCCACACTCTACACTCCACACTTTACACTCCACACTTTACACTCCACACTTTAAACTCTTCACTTTACACTCCACACTTTACACTCCACATTCTGCACTCCACACTTTGCACTTTAGACTTGACACTCTACACTTTACACTCCATACTTTAAAATCCAGACTCTACACTCCACACTCCACACTTTGCACGCCACCTTCTTCCATATTCCACAGTCTACGGTGCACTGGTATGTTAACCGGGGAAAATGTACAAGACTGTTCAAATAAACTGTTTCACAAAAGTGTTCTACGTGACTGCATATCCATGTGTTTCGACATCTGTACCATTGACATACGTGTGAGCATTCGGGTTCGTGGGCTGGGCTGCATTGTTTTTCCTTTTTCTATCCTATATACCTCCGATGATGATCACATTGATATGCGTTGACTAGCAATTTTGAGATGCGCCGCTCAACCACTGCAACCACCAATCAGGCATTATTTTGAGTCTCCAATTTCTTTGGGTGACCAGCAGCCAAGATTTTGCAATTAAACAAGTTAAGAATTTCGGGTAGTCTGATCATGGGTGCTTTATTTTGATGGATAGCTGGTATACAAAAAAAACATTCACAACACTTATCCCATGTTGTTTTGCTGTACGGATCTGTACGGTAAAAAAGAAATGCCGTGTCCGGTCAGCTTTCCATCGATCACCAGCATTTCCCATCCATTGAGCCTGTCAGGAGTACATGCAAGACAAAGACCTGATGCAAAAGGCGTGGGCAGCCGCAAAATCGAAGGATGGGGGATTTCTGTAGTGCCGGAGAATTTATAGATCAATTCTTGGTATATATACATGTTAAATATGTTATTACATATATTATATATTATTATATTAATGTTGGGCTTTGATTAGTGTAGGCCCCCCAAACAAATTTAGTGCGCTCAATAACTCGTGTTTTTTTGGCGACCAGATCTGGGGGACCCAGGATGATCACCTTATAAAAGTAAGGGTTTCAAGCGAAATCAATTTACTGTCAATTCGTTTGAATCTACCTTCAACTGATTTTCCTTTTAAACCTCAAAGAAATCTGTTGATAAGAAAGGGTTTCAATTGAAATCAATTTGCTTGCAATTCGTTTGAATCTACCTTCAACTGATTTTCCTTTTAAACCTCAAAGAAATCTGTTGATAAGAAAGGGTTTCAATTGAAATCAATTTGCTTGCAATTCGTTTGAATCTACCTTCAACTGATTTTCCTTTTAAACCTCAAAGAAATCTGTTGATAAGAAAGGGTTTCAATTGAAATCAATTTGCTTGCAATTCGTTTGAATCTACCTTCAACTGATTTTCCTTTTAAACCTCAAAGAAATCTGTTGATAAGAAAGGGTTTCAATTGAAATCAATTTGCTTGCAATTCGTTTGAATCTACCTTCAACTGATTTTCCTTTTAAACCTCAAAGAAATCTGTTGATAAGAAAGGGTTTCAATTGAAATCAATTTGCTTGCAATTCGTTTGAATCTACCTTCAACTGATTTTCCTTTTAAACCTCAAAGAAATCTGTTGATAAGAAAGGGTTTCAATTGA